CTGAGTTCATGTCAGCACTTCCTTTTTGCTGCTACAGGATATTTTAACTGAAAATAAGCAAGATGAACTTCTCTCTACAACAGCTTGGTGGCGCTGCAGAGGTGCCAATTAAATTAATAACAGTAACATTTATTTGAAGTCATTTTACTTTTTGTAAAGTCTCATTAAAGTTATCATCAGTCCCTCGCTGGATAAAAATGTCTCATTTGTAAAACTGCTGTAAAGTTTTATATTTGTTGCTTGTTATTATTATCCATCCATTTCCTTCTACTTCATCCGGGCCTCCTCCCAGAGCGCCTCACCCAGAGCGCCTCACCCAGAGCGCCTCACCCAGGAGGCATCCTTGGAGAGTAGCGGCTCTGAGCCCGTCTCGAATGAAGGAACTCCTCCTATCTCTAAGGGGGAGGCCGGCCACCCTTTTTTCTGCCACTTATATCTGGGATCTCGTTCTCTACCCCGAGCTGTGACCACAGGTGAGGGCAGAGCTTTGCTGCCATGCTCAGCTCTCTCTTTATCATAAAGGACATGCAGCATCTGCATCACTGCAGCCGTGGCCTCAATCCAGAGCTCGGCCACCGCCCCATGCAGCCAACAGAACCACATCACTTGCAAAGAAATCCTGGCCACCACAGTGAAGCCTTCCTCCACCTTCTAATTCCTATAAAATATGAACAGGATCAGTGACAAAGAGCAGCCGTGGCAGAGTCCAGCTGCCATCATGAGTCTGACTGATTTCAAAAACGTGGACCAAGCTTCTCAAATTGTTGTACAGGAAACGTATAGCTTGTAGCAATGGGCCACAGACCCCATACTCACAAAGCACTGAGGTCAAATGCCTTCTCCAGTAAACACATGCAGAGTGGTTGGGCAAAATCCCTCAAATCTCCTTGAGAGGACAGAGAGTTGGTCCAGTGTCCCACAACACGGACGCATCTGAGGCTCGACTTATGGACAAATTCTCCTTTCCAGTAGTCTGACATAGTCCTCCCCAGAGAGGCTGAGGAGTGCGACCCCCCATGTACTCGGGGGTCTGGGCCATTCGAGTCTCGCCCCCCATCACCATGCGATGTTGTAGAGATGTGTCAACACAGCAACCAGGGACTGAAATATTTAGATTTAATGTCTAACAACAAACAAACATAAAAACACACTGAGACACACACTGACATACAACCAAAGCCTTATTTGAATCTAAACTTCGCACGACTTTCCTTCAGCTCTTTGAATTTCTTGAAGCCTGTCTAGTTAAAGTCAGTGGGTGTCGCTCACAGTGCATACACATCTGTGCAGGTGCATTTAGCCTCTCCTGAGGCTCCGAGGATCCTCATGGTGTTCAGAGTTATGCAGCACGTCTCAGCTCCTGCTGTGGTCGTGTGACCTGTAGCATCCTGGTCTTAGCTGATAGCAGTGGCATGCTAGCAGTTGTACTCTGACCTTTGACATCAACATGACCTTTTCTCCCAGAGAGCCACAGCGCTGGATATTTCTCTTTTTCAGACCATCTCTGTGACGTATGTCTGTGTGGCAAAATCCCACCAGCTCAGCAGTTTCTCAAACACCAGCCAACCACATTCACTCAAATCACCGTTCTGGTCCTCAGCTTGAACTTCACCAGGTCACCTCGACCTTGTCTAAGTGCACCGAGTTGTTGCTAGGTGACTGACTGATTAGGTACATGTGTTAGTGAGCAGATGAGCAGGTGTACCTCATGGAGAACATGCTTGGCACATTTATTCTTTAAAGGAAAAGCAGAGAGAGCAGCAGGACCCTCTAAGAACTGCAGCAGCAGGCGGTCTGTGTCGATGTTTTACTCTTTAAAGCTGAAACTGATATTTGTGCCTTATTCTCGGTCATTTTGTCATGTAGTAATATTTTTATTTACAGTGTAGTTTGGCTTTCTGGTTTCCTTCTTGCCCAGTCTTCATGTGCTCTGTCTGGCTGCTGATTGGATGCCTTTGTATCCCCCCTGCTTTTAATACTTCTCCACACTTTGGGTTAAAGACATTTATTTTATTCTGTGTTTTTGCATGAATGCCATCCATCACTTTCTTAACTGATGGGCCTGTATGAGTGGTGACAGGGTGGAGGGTCGGGTAGACAGATCAGTGTGTGCAAGGCTAACAGGAGAACCCACACAGAAAGCTAACTGATGGATAACAGGCTAACCTCTGTTCAGGTCAATTTTATTTATATATCACAAAATCAAACAGTTGCTTAAAAGTGCTTTATAGATTGCCTGAATTATTTCACACAAACTCTTTGCAGTTGTTTCAAATATACAATATTTCATGAACACTGTGGGAAACAGACTGTGACGCTCCACAGCTGCACCCACAGTTCATAATGCTGAGTCAGAATCACATGTGAGGGATCAGATTACTGATATTTCCTCTAATGACAATATT